CAACATATGCAAACTAACATCACAACATGTAATCGTTTCAGCCGTACACGTCACAGTAACATTGAGAGGGGAAACTCGGGGCTCACAAAGGGTTCTTGAACGCAACATGTGAACAAACATCCCTCCGCCACACGACCACTACACTTTTTAGACACACATATGCCTGCGTGGCTTGAGAAATAAAAGCTTTTCTGCAAATAAATAACACATAATCAGCACTTAGTTCACTTTTGTTTTGAAGGTCAATTTAAGATATGATAAACAATCAGACTTTTAAAGATAAAGTCTGTTCTCTGAATCAGTGTATAAGTATAGTCTAGTAGCCTATCATAGCCTGTGTTACTTATCTAAGAATAGATAGCCTATAAATGCAACTTTTGAATACTGCATATGTTCCCTAACTTGACAGCGATCTCGTGTAATACTCTACTACAATACAGTTCTTTTTTTATTAAGAAACTTAAGTTTGTTTGCCTCCTTTTCATCGTTCTCATAAAAGTTCTCTCTTCTTCTCATGCTGATATTTTAGTTGGTTCAACACCATAAGTAATGTTAACAGTCACGTTGATTCAATCTATTAATAAATAGACCTCTATAAGGGAATTTGCACATAGTAATTGCTTTTCTGAATAACATTGTTCGCACGGCTAGCGTTTCTTGATTCTTTCTTCTCGCTTTGTTGCTGCTCTTTCTTTCTTTCTTTTTGGTAGCAAACAGCTAGCATCCCCCTTCACTCCAGCAATAACAACAGACTCACCAACTTAAAGTGCTCACAGGGGGAATCTGCAAACCAGCTGTCGGGGGAAAACGTCTTTCCGGTCCCGGGCGTCACAGGAAAACCACACAGTAAACCAATTATTCTATTAATCTCCAATTTACAAAATAAACACGTGTCTCCTTTGTCAGTTTCTTAGCGGTTTTGTCTAAGAAAACCCGGAGAAATCCACTGTTTCTCTGCCGAAACGTCGAGGGGGAAAAACGCTGTGTCGTGGGTCGCGTTTGTCCAGCTGTATAGCTCAATCATTGGTTGAAATCTACGTCAGTCAACGCTTCCTAATTATGCTATTCGTCCAGATGACCATACGCCCCACCCACCACATTTTACGTAAGTAAACAAAATATAACCCATTTGCCTCGCTGCCTTTTTTTTTGTAATCAATGAACCCCGGTAATATTTGACAACGTGGCTGTTCACTAGGTCTACAATTTCTTAAAAACACCACACTGTAGTTTTAATATTTTTAAAGCTGAAAAAGCGAAAAGTTGTCAACAGAAGATAAAGAATGTAATGTGTGAGTGTGAGCAGAGGCGTGCACATGCTTTTCAGGAGGAGAGGAAATCCACGATGTGTGTCACATTATCTATTACCGTCACATATAGTCTCATGTTCTTTAAGAAATACCCATTTAGTAGGCCATTCATATTTCTCTTTGTGTTCTTCTTCTCAACAGCTCTTTAGTATGAACAAAGGAAGTTAATTTGTTCCATTATTTATTCTTAAATCTGTTTTGCACAAAGTTCTTTTTAAAAAAATCATTATAGGATACTTGTTTTTATATTGTGATATTACATTTTTTTATATCACTTAGGAAACATTGCATTCAAGGCAAGGCAACTTTATACAGTATAAACATGACACTTTCCATACAGTGGTACATTAGTACATTCCCTAACAAGGCAGATAATTGAAATTAGGTCGGACAATAAGTAAAATGGTGATGCTAAATCTAGTCCACACTTGCAAATTAAAATTATAAAGGTGGGATATCCAGGTTTGATTGTGATCAAAATCTTACCGATCATACAGTGAATATTTATTATTTATTAATAGATAAAACTAGTTATCCACGACCTCTCAAAGGAACCTCAAGCCATCTTTTTGAATGGCTTTAAAAGGAACAAAGTCATAAGATTTAGCATAATTTCGTGCACTACTTTTTCTTGATGTTCTTTAAATACCCTGATGGCAATGAGTTGTTTCATCGGAAACTTCCACACAAACACAGTATTGTGGTTATTTGATAATTGATTGCTGACTGTCACGAGTCAAAAGTAGCCTTTAAAGCATATGCCTGTTGCTAATCATGTGTAAAGTGAACCTTAAGTTACAGTAAAAAAGGTGTTGTATGCTTATAGATAAATAATGTATGTATTTCTAAACTAATGCTGACATTTATTTTCTAATATTCTGTCTATTATCAATATAAATATGAAAGTTTCAATGATGTTTATGACAAATGGAAAAGTGCAATAAACCAGTGCTTCAATGTAGAATCTTGTTGCCCTGGAGGATTTTGATGAACTAATTTCCAAACATTGAAGTGCCCTCCTATTAATTACAGCAACAGAGACATTTTTCTCTATGTGTTTTGACAGTAAAATTGGCAGTGGCATGTCCTACAAAAAGGTAAAAGTATCATCTGTTGGTTTGATTCGAAGCTGACACCTTGTTTCTATCAGAGCCTTTTACAGCCTCTTTTTTTAGATAAATCAAAATTATGAGTTTCTCCTTTTTCCATCATGCAGGTTTAGAGATCCGACAATGTTTTTAGTATTGACAGCTATTCATCAGAACCACTGTTTGGCATAAACAAGAGGACGACAGTGGTGTGTCTTCCTCACTCTTTGTTTGATATAACCTTCGTAGTTTAGTGAAAACAGTATTAAATTGCTCATTTAGTTCTGGGTTCTGGCACGTTAACACTCCTTTTCTAAGCCTGAACTGCCACACGGATTCAAATAATCCATGACGCGCTATTGTTTTCTAAATCCTCATTCAGCCTCTGTCCTTAATAACGACGCAGGTGGAATGAACAACACTACAACATTCACCTGGAGCAGCTGTTCTCTTGAAAGCTAAAGGAGAGGAGATTGAGTGGTAAATAGGAGGGTGCATTACCCTGAAATCACAGTGGAGGGCGACTGTAACACACAGTGTGGCTGTTGGGCAATATGCTGTCAATGTGGAGCACAAATATGTACCCCTATGTACATGAGAAATACTGCACCACCATTACCAATAATACTTGTTGAAATTAGTAGCTACTAAATAAAGTACTCCATAAAAGTGGGACCAATCTAAAAGAGGGACTCTGTCATGCGACATTTGGGGATCTTTTCTGAAGCGGCTTAAGGACAGCTCACCAAATTCAGGTCTATTTTTATGCACATTGTTTTATATTTTAACGATGCTGATGATGTACAGATTTATCTGCTTCTCAATCAAAATGCCAACTCACTACAGCAGTTAAAGGACTGCTTAATAGAGATTAAATCCTGGCTGAGCCAAAACTTGCTCACCCTCAATGAGAGCAAGACCGAGGTCATTTTTTTTGGACCCCAACCAACAGTCTCCCCGGTTGATATTCTGGGCTCCCTCAATAAAAATATCCTCCCCTCTGTTATGAACCTTGGAGTGACCTTCAACAACGCCTTTAAATTTGATAAGCAGGTTAGCACCGTAGTCAAGACCTGCTTTTTCAAAATACGACTATTGGCTAAGACCAAGTCGTTTTTATCTTTTAAAGACCTAGAAAGGGTTATTAATGCCTTTGTTACCTCGAGACTGGATTACTGCAACACTCTGTATGTGGGTATGGACCAGGCCTGAATTAAACGCCTCCAGCTAGTTCAGAACGCAGCTGCACGTCTTCTCACTGGCCATAAAAAACATGACCATATCACCCCAATTCTGGCTTCATTGCACTGGCTTCCAGTTCGGTTCAGAATAGATTTTAAACTCCTTTTATTTGTTTTTAAAGCCCTAAATGGGCTGGCTCCTGCCTATATAGCCGAACTCCTCCATCGCTACACCCCATGCAGAGCCTTAAGGTCGGGTGATCAGCTGTTGTTGATAGTGCCTAAGACCAGGCTTAAAACCCGAGGGCATCGAGCTTTCGCAGCGGCTGGCCCTAGGCTCTGGAATACTTTGCCCCTCCATGTGAGGTCGGCCCAGACCCTGGGGGTTTTTAAATCAACACTTAAAACTCACTTTTTCTCTCTGGCTTTTGTTTAATTATTTATTTATTCATTCATTTATTTATTTATTTATTTATTTAGTTATTTATTTATTCATTTAGTTCTTTATTTTAATATTTATAACATAACATAGGATTTCATAAAGTATTTTTAAAATAGTTTATACATTATTCGAATATAGGAATAGTAGATAGGATTACTTAAAATATAGTACCTTATATTTCATATTTTTTCCCTTTAGACCCTTGCGGTTTATTCTTAAAAACCCTTACCCACCCCCCATTTTCCCTCTGCTGGTCTATGGCCTTGTAGAGGGTAACGGGGTACAGAGTCGCTTAGATAAGCGGGGAGTGCATCTGACGAAGAGATAGGTTGTTGTGCTCCCTATCTCTGTTTCTTATCCTATATCTAATAGAACTGCTCGGGTCTTGATAGATTGAGTGGGGAAGTTCATGAGATCTTTCTAGAGGGTTATCAAGAATAACTTTTATCCAATGACCTTTTCCCTCTCTGTCTGTGTCTGTGTATTCTCTTGTACCGATTAACCCAGCCAAATCTTTTTTCTTGTTTTGTATCTATATCTACGCCGGGATCCGGAGTCGAGGCTGATCCTCTTGCTGTAGTCCTGTGTCTTGGATCCTCCATCCTGAGTTCTGGATTAAGTCGTGGACTTCGGGTCGTGGCTGAACCTGTCTCTGCGGTCCTGCCTTGGGTCTCGTCATGCTGCTTCCCTGATGGCTTCCACAGGATTGTAGCTAACATCCTCGTGGATTCATCTTCTTATTACAGACACATGCATTTCCTAACATTCTGTCTATATGCTGTAAAATGTATTATCTCTTCGATTTACACACGGCATCTATTGCACGTCTGTCCGTCCTGGGAGAGGGATCCCTCCTCTGTTGCTCTCCCTGAGGTTTCTCCCATTTTCCCCTTAAACTGTGGGTTTTCTCTGGAAGTTGTTCCTTGTACGATGTGAGGGTCTAAGGATAGGGTGTCGTTTTTCTCATACTGATATTCTGAACAATCTGTGCTGTTGTATTAGCTGTAAAGTGTCTCTACTGTAGGCTATTTTTATTATATGTACAGCACTTTGGCTCGGAAAAAAAAAATCGTTTATAAATGTGCTATATAAATAAAACTTGATTTGATTTGATTTGACAAGGCAGGTAAATATCACAGCTCCAGAGTTAAGTGCTGAATACTCATTGAAAAACAAGTGACTGTACTCTGTACTTATACCACTTATTTTTTCTTTTTTAGGTGGTGGAGGAAGAACAACATGTTTGCAAGAAGTCAAGGTTACACAAGGTTAGTAGCTAACATAGAAATTATAACTTTGGGGGTAAATTATTCTTTTAACACACTGCCTAGACCTTCATACTGTCACAGGAGAACACAGCAATATATTGCATTTACACGTACCAACTGTTCTCACACTATTGGTTGTTTTTCATTCTCCACTCTGCTATAACATGACGTCCCCTCCCTCTTTTCTCTCTCCCCTTCTATAATTTGCTATTGAATTATAAATCATACATTCCCTTCCTGTGCCTCTCTCTCCGCTTTGCGCTGCCTCTCTTTTTATTACACGATAGCCCAGACCTGATGTCAGAGGTCAGTCATGTTTAATATGTGCGTGTATCTTCTACCCCAGCCTTTCCTGTGGCCCTGGGTCCCCACCCCAGACTTCACCGGTAAGTGGGTTTGTCCGATGCCAATACATGGACAAATGCATGCATACACTCGCTGAAGCATACGACACCCAAAGCTTGAACACAAGCAGGAAGTATCCTGTTAGCAAGCACACTAAGGTACAATATAGCTTTATTATTTCTGCAAAAAGTAATTTTCCTGTTACGTGCTCCCTTCCTGCACCTGGTCTGCCCCCTGGCTCCGCCTCTGCCCAGGTGTTCCCAATACCACTCAGAGAAGGATGTCTCGCCTTTCCTAACGCCGGGGGACACTCTCCTCAGAATACCCCTTTGCCATTTAGTGGGGGTTGAGCTATAGGCTATATTCTGTAGATGTGTTTATGTTTAGCCTGGAGGACCTGGTAGTCCAGTTTTCGCGGCTTTATTTTGTTTCCCATAGGGCTTATATTTGACTTTTGGTTAGGGGGGAGCTCTGGGTCCTACGGCCCCTGGTGTGGCTGGCTCGGGTTCCCTCCGTCTTTTTGTTCCTTTTGGCCTGTCCTCCAGACCTTTTTTATTTCCCCTTTGGCTTGTGTAAAAAAACGGCTCATTAATAATAAATGTTGGTTACCAAGTACTGGTTGTTTCGTGTATTTTTCATGTTACGGGTCTCAGCACAAGCCACTACGGCGGAGTTGAGGCTGTGGCCGTAACACATGTGCTTACAGTTCGAGGACCTGGTAACACTCATCACTGAGGGGCTCCAATAAGCAACAGGCCTACAGTATGTTCCATTTTAACAAGGCTTTGGTGAACATGGAAATATATTCCTGCTTCACATTTGGAAAACAAAGAGTCTCGTGCAGATATTTCATCTCCCGCTCTAATGATTTCCCGGTGTGTTTTTCACTGGACCGACCCCTTGTGTTTGCTTTGAAAACAGTGCATTACCTGAGAAAGACGATTTGTTTCACAGGCATTTTTATCACTCAAAATCTCACAAAGGCTAAATATGAGGCTACCACAAGCGTCAGGTTAGCTTAGCACAAACGTTATAGTCTGTTTTTGTTGCTGGTAAGTGGATTTGTATGTGCCAAGTTAAATGAGCTGGTAGCTGGCTGTGGCCTTTAGCTTGGTGTACCAATATTAGCATCTAACCCTAGCAAGCCTACAGGAAAAATGTATTACCCAAAATGTCAAACTAATTCTTTAACACGCAGTTGCATAAATGTTTGTTGTCACCATGTTGCTATCACCATGACATAAACAACTAAACTGCCTTTAGATCATGTGACTTCCGTGCTTGCTATCTTGAGGGGAAGTGACAGGTTCTCCTTGGTGCTGTGCTGGAGATTGGGGTCTATTTAGAGCAGCTGGAGGAAGAACAGTATCTGTGTGTGTGTGTGTGTGTGTGTGTGTGTGTGTGTGTGTGTGTGTGTGTGTGTGTGTGTGTGTGTGTGTGTGTGTGTGTGTGTGTGTGTGTGTGTGTGTCTTATGGGTGTGCTTTCCTCGCTCTAGGACTTCCAGGGTCCCAGAGATAATATGGAATTCATGAGAGGAACGCCGGCAGGGGTTCCTTCCTGTCAACTGACTCCATCACTTCCTGCGTTGGGCTTCCTGCGCCTGGACCTCCAAGGAGAAGAGTGAGGCTGCATTGACCACAACAAAGGACCTGTTTCATGATTTAGAGTCACTGAAGTGATGGAGAAGCTTGACTGCGGCCCCCATGGTGGTTTCAAGCAGGTCTAATACAGATTAGAATAAGAGTGTCATGCACAATTCCCACATTTTGTAAAAGCTAACATTTGAAATGCTGCCAACCAATTGCTAATTGCAGTCATTAAAAAATGAATTGTAGCAAATGAATGTGGGCGAAGGATCGAACGAA